AGGTTCACAGTTTTTAGCTGCATTAGCAACACTTTTCAGAAAAGGACATAGAAGTTACATGAACCAAAAAACAAAGAATGACTCAAGAATGTCACATAAAAACCCCAACACCCTATTCATTTATGCAGTAATGAACATAAACTATGTGAAATACCTCTTCTGCTTCACTCAGAGATCTCAACTGGAATAATGTTTACAATTTTGTGTACCACAATTCAAGGAAAATGAGGACCAAAGAAAATAGCACAAGGAAATGCTTTAAGAACGACTGCAGACCTGGAGAATACGATCAAGATGCAAACATCCTCTAGACATCTATAATTTGTTAAGAATGAAATAATCTGCTCTTTATCACCAAGGTGGACAGGACACAAATATGAAAAGACTTGGTTGCAGCAAGAGAGATTTCAGATTAGACGTGGGCAGGAGGAGACAGCTCAAGTGTTAATGATAAGAATAATTAAGCCATGTAATAGCTTACAATATTTAGAATAATTTAATTCCACCACCACTTTAATCAGTTGCTTTCAAGAACAGGCTGGAGAAATTCATCAAAGCAACATGCTTTGTTGTAGGACAGCCTAAAACACTGTCTGAAATCCCTTTTTTGTTGTTCTCTAAACTGCAAATCATGTAACACACCCATCTGGCCTTATCCTTGCAAGTTTTACTTGCTTTATTGTGGCACATAATAGTAAAATGAGTGCTACTCTGCCTGAAGACAACATGAATGTGCAGATCCTTTAAGTAAACATCTGCTTGCATTTGATTACCACATGTTAGGGTATTGTACCTCGGAACAATGACAAAGAAGAAAAAAAAATACTAGAAACTCTGCAACAGAAATGCACACACATACAATAAAATACAACTCAGGGAGAAGGAAGGGAAAAAGAGTGAAGTAATAGCTGCCTGCTAATTTATCTTAAAAAAAATATATTAATACCTATCTTCTACATAAAAAAACCCCAACAACTGAGAAATGACAGTGTTCTCTTCATCTGTAGACCTATAAAGAAAAGACCAGTAAATTCTGTCTAAATTAGTAAACTAAGTCAAGATATAGTCAGTCCTTGCTACAGAGAGTGCTATAGTAATAAAATACGGGATTAGACAAATGCGTCTGCTGCTATTCTTATCCTAACTATGGGGATAATGAGTTAAAAGAGAAAGCAAACGTAGTTCCAAGAAGAAAAATCAGTAAAACACCATCTAGAAACATTCAGAAAACCTAAGCTTGAAGGATGCCAAGAACAAGAGTCACTTCAGAAAGCTTCCCTTGAGATGCAGACAGCTTTGTTGACCCTTAAGTGATCTGGAATGTCACATGTGCAAAACTCAAAAGTGAGCCACTGCAAAGGAAAAAACTTTTTCAGATATGCTGTTTAAAGGAGGTACTTGGAAACAATCTATATGAAGGAACGAGTCAATTCCTACAGAAAGGTGCCATTCTCACGTCAAGTGGAATTTTCATGTTTTTCTCCTCCATTTGGTCTCTAAAAGGAAATTCAACATAGAAACACAAAACTCTATTGTTCCAATTCACTCTGTGTATTTTTCAAAATTCTCCATTATTCAGTCACCATTTCTATTGCTGCAATAAATCTTCTCATCAACTGCAAGGATTGCAGATGATGAAATAAATAGCAACTGAGATGAGGAATGTAGTAGAGAGCATGATAAGGATCCAAGTATAACACTTGAGAACAAGTTTTTATCAAGTATTTTGGGATTATAGTCCTTTAAAAAAAATAATAAACATACGCACACACACTTGGCTTACTAAATTTTCAATTTGATCTGAAGATTCTGAACCAAATCTCTTCTAACTTGATCTTTCTTGACTTGGAGGAAAACTCTTGCCCACAAATCACAACTGAAAGAGCTGTCTAATAGTAGCATGTTCCCATCATCATAATACGGCTTTGGAAGCTGCTACAAAATTGAACCACCAGAGATTTCCTTCAGGTATCATGTAAATCCAAAGTTAAATGGTCAATCAGTTCAATATGTAAAAGATGCAACATCACAATCTGAAATTAATCAGTTCATAATTTATAAGAACCTGCATTTCCAGTAAATAACTCCAGGTCTCTACACGTAGAATCTGACCTTTAGTAGCAACATATTAAATGTATGGTAAGCTTACAGAGAGACTACAATTTTGCGCAGCATTATGCAGAACTGAAACTATTCAGTACATTTGATTCCCTCCCACACTCAAAATAGGACATGCTTCATTAATCCTTACAACTAAAAATCATAAATACTAACTTAAGCATTGCACGGACTTCAAACATTACAAACACATTTGCTGATTTAAAGTGCACTGTAAATTGCAAGATAGCAATTACATTCACCTTCAACTTTGCACAAGTCAAAACTATTTTCTAGAGCTGAATCAAATTAATTCTTCCTCATACAAATATGGCAAAATGCATCTTTTTTTAAACCGTCAACCCTTTTCAGAACCAGAGGATGGCATCAGACAGTTTGTATGTTTGTTTTTAATAACTTTACAACAACCACATTTCTTAGTACCTTGTTTGAAGTAATGCTTCCATAGGTGTTAGGCGATCCTGCAACTGTCGGGACACAGCAGTAAGCAGTGATGCACAAGCTGTACTACATCCTGCCAAATCTTCATCCTTTACATAGTTCAGCAATACAAAATACCAATACACAGATCCTGCGTTAAAAAAAAAAAAAAAAAAAAAAAATCAGGTGAAACATGATGTGAATTTTCCACTCAGAAAGCATACTTTGAATCATAATCAATGGAAGAGATAAATGAAGTATCTAATGGTTACTGAATACAGACTAGGAAGCATTCTCCCCCTCCCCCTTTTGAGAGACTTCAATTTAGAATCATTCTGTAATCATTAGTTTCCACAAGTAATTCAAATTCTCTTATCAACTAATTAATAATTGAAGAAAAAAAAGGTTCCCAAGAGACAGCTTCGCATATACTTCTTTCATTGCTTCTGCCCACTGCTTCTACTAAGCACAACAATCAAAATGCTTTTGATACACTGAGGTGCTAAGCTAGGGGTTCCAATCCCTTTAGAGTCAAGCCTTACTCTAGATTCAACTCTTCCTCTCCTCTCACTGCCTGTTTTTGGCTGCTGTCTCTTTATTCTGTATTTGCTGGAGGCACTGTTTCCTTACAGATCAGTTCTGGGAGCACAGCGCAGTGGTTCTGTACAGAAACACAAACCTCCTCCTCCTTCTCCCTCTGTGCATTCCACACTCTCAATAGCAGTGTGTTAAATGTTTCTACCTGGGTGCTTGCACAACAAGCATTTTGGACCGAAAATTAATTTTCCTGCAAGACTCTTTGGTGATGCCAAGCTAAATGCAATTCAACAACGTCATACTGTGAGAAACACAAAGCAGGTCTTGCCACACCAAATACAAGTGCTAAAGTCATCTTCCCATTCTATTTGGCACTCAAAAGGCTTCAACCAGGTGCTAAGATACCATTACTCTGCAACGTAGATGAGGAAGGAGTTTGATTTAGTTAAAAATTTCCTTTTGGTGCAGAAGTAACAGAAGCGGATTGCTAGTTGGACATCATTTGGATAGCCAGGCTCCCTGAAAAAAATCTCCTAATTTTCCCAAACAACAGACAATCCTGATTCTCACTTATGCCAACAGAATCTGTGGCTGCTGAACACCTTTGAAAATTCTTGCAAAACTTACTTAAGCTCTCCCAAAAATGTCAGTGCCTTAGCACTCCATTTTAAGTAAACTGATTTTCTTAAAATTCCATCATCTACAAATGCTTACTTCATACTTGGATACCACCTGACCAGACCACTCCAAGAAGCAGTCTGTACTAACTGAACACTTACCTAACTCACATTTCACAAGAGAGTCTAACAAAACATGCCAAACAACAAAGGCACTGTATATTTTTATGACAACAAACATTGTATACATACCACCTGTTGCAGCAGCAGGCAAAAGAGGCATATTGTCAAGCAAAGCTTGTAGAAGAACTGATCCAAACCCCTGCTGACTTGGGTCACACCTGCCATTGCTAAACAGAAACACAGACACTTTAACATTTAATGAAGTAAGAACAAAAGGTGAAATCTCCAGAAGGTGAAGCTGAAAGACTGACGTTCTTTGCAGTCATACCCTAACACATTTTTCCTCAACAGAAGATCTTCCAGATCTTGTTCCTTTTTAAATACAATGTTAAACAATAACAAACACATAAATACAGTTCAGACTGCATGCAAAAACCCCAAATATATCGAAAATATAAATATATAAAAGTAAATATATGTAATTATTTAGCACTGACCTGATGCATAGTGCAAGAAACCGTGCACATTTGTGAGCTATGCTCCGCCCAGCTTCAAAGAAGCAAACACGTATTATATCAGAGACACATTTACGTGTTTTAGAAAGCAAGCTGTCATTTCCTTCCTTTGAGCTGTGAAAACAAGTTGCATACTTTAGAGACTCATATAAAACTTTTTTTTTTTTTAACAGAGCTGATACTGAGAAATAGCCATGCTAGTTTAAACACAATTTCCCTCTTACCTGCCAGGTCCATTTGAATACACTCCGGCCAGCCAACAAAGCGTATCTAGTACAAGACTCTGAGCATGTTCTGTAGTCACACCATCATCTGTCTTCTTGCAAAGAGTGGTGAGCAGCTTCTCATGGAACTCTGAAAACTGTAACATGGCACACCGTTGAACTCTAGGGAGGGGGGAAAGGAAATAAAAAACAAAATTATGCAATATGGCCATTCTCCCTCCAAGTGTCCAAATGTCCCTCTAGCTTCGTATCTTGTCTTAGGTATGGCGACAAAAAGATGTCTAGGTGAGAGTAAAACTAGTACACAAGCATATATGATACTTTCTGTGCACACATTCCCAATCTTCCTATTTTCTGCTCACAAAACTTCCTAGGTTACTGTATATTTAGTAACCCTCAGGAAATTTTTTTTCCTACTACCTTGTTTAATAACTTCTAAACCTAAAAAAAAGCTTTCATCATCTACAACATACTTTGGCAACCATTTGCACATACCTCTTTGCAGTCTCTTTGACCTCTTTAAGACCATCACAGTCAGTGCCACCATTGTGGGGTGGCAGCTGGTAATACAAATCAAATACCATATTATTCATGTTTAGGTCTGCAGTACCAATCCATACAGATTTTAACCAGTTTTTTTGAGTAACAATTTGTTAGTTAAATTTGATTCTAAACTTTTTGACCAATAATATACTCTCTGCTGTAAGAAACAAGACAACATGTGGAAATAGAAAGGCAAGATACTTCCTTTAAAGAAAAATTTGTCCAAATAATTTATGTAATTCACCAAGAAAACTTATTTACATTTGCCTTTGAGTCAGGCAAATAATGACTCAACATACAATTTCATGCATGGTGTTATTCTACCACAACTTGCACAGCACAGTGCCCTTGAACTCACAATTTACAGGATCTTCCATATGTTTATGAAATGACAACTTGAAACAGTGGTTTGACCTGAGCTATTTTGAGAAATAAGTATTTTATGAGAAATATAACTAAAGCTAATATTTTTTAGAATTAAAAAATGCCTACTAACCTTTCTTTTGAAATGGAAGTTTTTTTAAATCTTCGAATCGTTACAGAGACTTCTTGAAGTAAGTCACAGCCTCTCAGATTATCTGATTTTCTTGAAGAATTAGTGGCTTCAATTTTGCTAGATGGCTTTTCCTGATTTTTTTGGGAAAATACAATAATTCATAAATCATGTTGGTTTTGACTGCTTCATCTGTATACATTTTCAGTGAAATGCATACAGTTCAGTAAAATTTCTCACTCAGTTTGAGCATTGTACCAAAAAACCTACTTTTATTCACTAATTGCTTTAATACAGAACATCAAGTTTAACAACGGTCTGTAATTTATTATGTTCTAAGCATTCTAATAATGTCCACAAGATGTACATCATATCATCCAATCTTAAAAGTAAAATGATCAAGAGTAAAATACACACACACAAAAGCCTTCATAAGAGGATGAGGTTTATCAGCTACTGAAAACACTCGTGGAAACAGAAGTTTCAAAAACAAGTGCTCAGAATGGGAAAGTGGCAGAACAGACCTCTTCAACTAAATTTGCACAGAAGAAACAACTTAGAGATATTGAACTGATTCTTGAAGGTGTTAACACAGTGTCAAGACAAAAAAGTAATTTTTAATGGATTTTAGTTCTCCTAACAGCTGTTTCATTTTCAGATTACATAAATCATACTAATTCTACAACTTTAACACAGATGTCTGTCTTGGCTATTCATTACCTTGCCTGCTGCAACTTTTGCCAACAATGAAGCAAGGGAATGACCCTTGTTAGTCTGAGGTTTTAGAGATGGTATTCTAACAACTGGTCTAATGCCACCATTGCAGATTTCTTCTGTTCCTCTGTCATTCACTGCTTTAACATGAATTAAAAATGAGCGGTACTTGCCACCAGCCATGCCTAAAAATGGGGAAAAAAGGAGGGGGTAGTTTGCAAAGTTGTAAACAGATTTCAACTTTACAGATACAGTGTACAAGCAGAACTCAACGACATTAACTACAGTACTTTAGCATCAATTTGAAAAGGTAACTCATTATTGTGTTGTACAGCAAAATTTGTCAATGTGACAATAAATACAAACCAAAGTCCGACTACAGAAATATGAAATGAGCTTTAGTCACACATACTTCATGTGAATAGCATAATAAATTTGTTTACCTTTAACAAGCTTTGGACTTGTTAGTGTCAACATTCCAGCATGTCCTGATAAATCCAGTCCAGTAGCCAACCATACTGGACCGCAAAGTATATCTTCCTTATGTTCCTCCAGAAATGGACACAATCTAAGACCTTAAAAAACATGAGTAATATGGACCTGAATTACCCAAAATTGTCACAAGATCTCATCATTTGCACGGGTTAAAAATACACCATGTCAAATTCTGATCCCTAAATACATATATAAACTCTACATTGAAAAAATAACAGTTACTTGAAGTTCACTTTCAGACATTTTTCAGTGAAATAAATAAAGATAAATGACAGTTTTCAAAGCATTTTCAGTTATATTACATGGATAACATGTACTGGCTCATCAGAGCCACAAAATACATAACTGATAAAATGATGAATCAATATATTTTGATTCACAACTCTCACTGGGTCTTTTCTGAAGCAGGACAGAATTGGCTTATTAAAAAAAAAAAAAAAAGACTAATTTGTTTCTCCTGTGGTATACTGAAATTATCATTCACTCGTCTGCTGCTTCTTTCTCAGCATGAGACGCTTCCTTCTAGTACTTTTTCTTTTATCAGCCCTTTGATCCCTCCCCTCATCCTTCGCAACCTTTCTTGGAGTCATAGAATCATAAAATGGTTTGGGTTGGAATGACCTTTAAAGTCATGCTCTAGATAAGCTTGATGACATGAAAGAAAAGAAGCCGTAAAGTAAGACTGTTGAAAGGACCAAGGAAAAGAATCACAGTTCTGCAACTGATTCACTCCAACTATCAATATTTAGTCTGTATCTCCCCTCACTCAGATCCAATCTGGTTAACAAAAAAGGTTATAAAAACAGGCACAGCAAGTCTGACGTGGCTGGAAGTCAACAGGGCTAGTTATGAATTCTTTACTAGCTGATTATTATTTTTTTGGTTTACACTAGCAATCTCTACAAAAGCCAGATAGGCAATGAAAAATTCTATTAAAAATAGCTAAGGAAACCAAGTAAAATAGTGCTGGAACAGGGTAAGAGTTTAAGTTATAAAGGTGCCATATCAATCTACTTTATTTCTAAATTCAAATAAATACTAACTTGCTTTTAAACACAAGGGGGGTGGGGTGGGGGGTG